CCTCTACTCGGCTTTGCCTTTTCCTCCATGGCTTTTCCGAGCAAATGAGCATCAAAAGGCTTTGCACATGATGCATTTTTGTCCCTCAACTTATCACACAACAATTTAATTAATTCGCCTGGCATTTGCTAAACAAGGCAATGCAAATCCTGCTTAGCGCATCACCGAGATTTAGTTACACTCCATAAGGACTGACTATAAGGCAGTGGTTGTGGTATTTTTGAACACACAGTCCTCAGGTCAGGATTAACTTAAAGGTGAAGGGTTTTCACCTGCCAAAGCCTGACTGTGGTATTTAGTCTTCCATCCCTGAGTTATCCATAAGATCCAGGACACCTACATTCTAATTGGAAGAAGCAATAAAAACTTCCCTTACATCTGCTGTGATCAGCTTTGGGGAATAAAGTATCAGACCCCAAGGCTGCATGAATATGGATGGAGAACGGAGAATTCAATTATCTGGGGTCTGAAAGTGCTCCCTGGTAGCTTCCTTCAGTCATTGCTTGTCCATCACAGGCAAATCCTTCCAGAAAACAAAACCTCTGTTCATCTGTGCCGTGATTCACAGCTCACTGTCCCTACAACCTCCTGGGCACACACAGACACTTGTCCCACTTTCCTTTCACAGTGCACAAAACCACATTAAACACCATTCCTACATCAGTGGCCTTGTCAGGGCACTCTGCGCCTTCATGCAGGAAAACCTAGACTTGAAATCTGGGTGTCAAATACTTCCCTTTATTTCACTTTTCCATTAGTATCAAATAGGCACGCTGAAGGATACTGAAATATTTGGCCGTATTAGATTATAAAGATTGGCTCTACAAAACCCCCATGACAGATTCTAAAGACCCTGTGCCCAAGGCTTGAACAGGATAAAAGGAAGCCCCTTTCCTCAGATTCCTAAGGGAAATCCTGCACAGTATTTTTCTAAGAGTCTAAATCGTACATTCATTTCACAAAGATGTTTTGCCATTTCCCCATCAATGACAGAATCCTTTCTGTGATCTGCAGACAGCTAGAATAGCACTGAGAAGGTTTCTTAGCGTGATACATTGCTGTTGGCTTGGGATTTATCTGATCCTCTTTTGTGGCGATGAGAAAATAGCCTGTGTGCCCTAAATGCTATTTCTCAAGCTTGTCAGCATGCTATAGTAGGAATGATAATTAACGTGCTTTTTAAAGAGTGGCTTAGGAGAGCTAAACAACTGCCGTGGTGAGAGCTGGTTATTGTCACTCTTCAAAATGTCACTGCAAGTACTGGAGACTTCGCTGGTCATCAGCATTTGGACAGGCACAAATCGGGGATTTCTCTCCAGAAATGATGAAGGGAAGAAGCTTTACCCAGCCCCAGACAGCGGCTCTTGGGCTTTAGCAGGTCTGGAGGTTGGTGCTGGAAGGTGGTCAGTCAGCCTCCAAGCTCCTGGGAGCTGAGCCTAAACCAGCACCAGAACAAGGAGGAGCAGAAGGGAAATGGCTTTTAAGAATTGCTCAGCATGAAGAAACTCACACTGACTTTTTCAGAGCCATTTCCTGGGCAGGGTTTATGCACATATCATATATATATATATATATGGCCAGTCCTTCAGCCAAACCACAGTAGCTCCATCAAAATAGCAGAGCTGAGCTTTGAGAATCCCTTTTTCTTCCTCTGTTTCACCCCTGTATAAACGTAGAAAACCAAATTTTCCACTTTCTGTTTGATTTCTCACTTCCTTTGTCTTTGGTGTCCATCCATTCCCCACCAGTGTTTCACCAGAGAAGGAGCAGTTGGGCGGCAGCCTGTGACCTCGCTGGAGCACTCCTTGGCAGAGGTGTCATCTCTTTCTCTTTTTCCTTTCTCTAACAGGGTTTCCAAGGCAAGACTGGCCCTCCAGGACCCCCTGGTGTTGTAGGCCCTCAGGTAAGAAACACAGGCTCATGCTTGCACCAGCTCATCTTCCCCGGTTCAG